AGGGCTGAGTTCAGCGTTAAGCCTCTGATGAGTTCCTGAATTGCCCAGCTGACATCTACGCTCAAAAGCAAAGGAGGCCCATGGGCAAAAGCTGTTCTGGACTTAATTCTGACCAACACAAAAGAACTGATTACTGAGGGGAGTGATCAGAGCCTCCAGAGGAAGCCACTACAGAATTTTAGAGTTGATAGGATCCAGGGAATGAAAAGGTGAGAATATAGAGTCAGACTTCTACAAAGGATGCTTCAAAACTTCGGAGAAAGGAATCATCAGCTGTGGTTCTCAAGAGAAAATAGTTCAAGAGGTTTTAAAACTGAAGTCCTTACAATAAAGTCGCAAATTATCCTGAGTTTAAAAAAAAAAAAAAAAGAGGGCAGGCTCTAAAAATAAAAGTGGCCGCACAGGGAGCTCTCCAGCGCACACAGATCTTAGAAGTCCTTCTGCTCTCCCAAAACTTTTGACATACTTTGAAAGTATGTACATTTCTTTTTTTGAGACAGAGTCTTGCTCTGTTGCTGAGGCTGGAGTGCAGTGGTTCAATCTCAGCTCACTGCAACCTTCACCTCCTGCGTTCAAGTGATTCTACTGCCTCAGTCTCCCACATATCTGGGATTACAGGCATCCGCCACACGACCAGCTAATCTTTGTATTTTAGTAAAGATGGAGTTTTGCCATGTTGGCCAGGCTGGTCTCGAACTCCTGACCTTAGGTGATCCTCCCGCCAGGCATAAGCCACCACGCCTGGCCGAAAGTATGTAAATTTGAATACAGTAGGGTGGAGTGGTGAAGACCCGGCCTTTGGAATCAGACAGCATTTGAATTCTGGTTCTGCCACCTACTAGCTGTGCGACCTTGGATGAATGAATCATTTAACTTTTCTGAGCTCTAATATCTAAATCTGTAAAATGGGGATAATTGTACCCACTTGAATAAGGTAGCTGTGAATAAAATGAAATGGCACCTGTGAAATGCCTACTACAGTGACTTGCATGTAGTAAATGCTTCATCAATATTAGCCATTATTGCCATTCTACAAAATATGGGAGATGTTCTTAAAGGGTAACTGCAAAAAAATAGTGTAAATGGGTAAGAATCATACTGGCTGGGTTAAAGGACAGGTTGCTGTGACACTTGTGATACTTGTGAAGGACACACAAGAGTTCTTTGGGTAAAATCACAAGGAAGGCAGCCATCATGCCTGGACCTGTCAAGGCGTTGTTGATGGCTGATGGAACAGCAGGATGGTGACTTGTGCGTGTCACTGTTGTCTCCCTTGGAATGATGTGCTTTAACAACAAACACGATTAAGATGGAGTTGAAGGCCAATCAAGATCATTCCTCACCATCTTAAGTGAGTGTCATTCTCACTGCAGGGCACTGATAGAGCTTACAGATGTGATATTGGAGGCTTCATCTACATGAACTACTTTGCATAAGTACTTGGAAGAATCATGTGGAAATGGAAAGAAGTCCGAAGCCTGCAAAAGAGCAAATGTGGCTTCAATTTTCTAAAATAAGGGAAAGGATAGATTTAGAAAGTACAAAGGTGCATTTCATGTCCATCCTGGCAAAGTTCTAGAGGAAATTATTCAGCCGAGGTGACAGTCCTGGTAGCCTCTTACCTGGCCTCTTCACCTCTGCCCTTGTGCACCCCAGACCCACATGCTCTGTTCTCCGTCTGGCAACCAGAGGGATCCATGTAAGTCAAATCATGTCTGCTCAGAAGTCTCCAGGGGCTCCCCCTCTTACTGAAAGGAAAAGCCACAGTCCTTCTCGTGGTCTGCAGGGCCCACACCGCCAGCTGCTGCTTCTCTGACAGGAGGTCTCACGGGTACTTTTCCTCCACCCCCTCTTGCTCGGGCCACGCCAGCCTCCTTGCTCTTGGCCGTCACCCTTGCTATTCTCCGTGCCTGGATCACACTTCCTTCAAAAGCTGCTTGGTTCACTTTCCCATCTCTTTGCTGAAATGCTACCTTCTCAGTGAGGCCTTTTATGACCACCCTATCGAGGCCCCACGCGTCTTTCCTGACGTTTTTTTCTCCCTAGTACTCATCCCCGTTCAACATATTAGATACTTTAACTTACTTCTCCCGTCCATCAGCTTTCTCCCCTTACTAAAATGCGGGGTCTACAGCCTCTGCGACTTTTGTTTGTACCCTTAGTCCATAGAATGGCACCTATCACATGGTCATCTTCACTCAATATTTATTGATTGGAAGGGAGGGAGGAAGATGGCTTGGGTAGACTTAGCATTCACTAGACAAGGTGACCAACCATCTCAGTTTCCCCAGGACTGAGAGAGTTTCCTGAAACATGGGACTTTCAGTGCTAAGATCAGGAGAGTCCCACCTGGTCCCTGACACCACTTCTCTACTTCTGTGATACGGTGATTAGACTGATGGTTCCTAGGAACGCCACACACTCATTACATCCTGATTTCAGCTCAGCCTCTCCCAGAGTTTGTCTTGACAACCCTACAGATGAGATGCAGAAATGCAGGCTGCGAGACGGTGTATTTGGGTGGTTTGCAGCTAGCTGAGCGGCCACACCAGACACGTTGATTAATGGACCCATGTCAGGCTGGCGGGAAGGCTGCAGTGGTGAGCCGCAGAACTGTCCTGGCCCAGTTCTGCTCTGTGACCTATCTGAGCCATGTATGAGGACACAGAAGGCAGGACTGAATTTGCCAGTGCACTAGGGAGGGAAAACTAATACCCTCAACAAATTGGGTTAGGCTTTGAAGTCATTTCAAGAGAAAGAAATGATAGGCCCTAAGCTTAAAATTTTAAACAGAAGCAAGTTTCCTTCCTTCCCTCCCTCCCTCCCTTTCTCTCTCTCTCTCTTTTTTCTTTTTCTTTCTCCTTCCTTCCTTCCTTCCTTTCCTCTTTCCTTCCTCTTCCACTTCTCCTTCCTCTTCCCCTTCCCCTTCCCCTCCTCCCTCCCTCCCTCCCTTCTTCCCTCCTTCCCTTTCTTTTCTTTTCTTTTTTCTTTGACAGAGTCTCACTGTGTTGCCCAGGCTGGAGTGCAGTGGCACAGTCTTAGCTCACTGCAATCTCCACCTCCTGGATTCAAGCGATTCTCCTGCCTCAGCCTTCTGAGTAGCTGGGACCACAGGTGCCCACCACCATGCCTGGCTAAATTTTTCTGTATTTTTAGTAGAGATGGGGTTTCACTATCTTGGCCAGGCTGGTCTTGAATTCCTGAACTCAGGTGATCCACCCGCCTTGGCCTCCCAAAATGCTGGAATTACAGGCATGAGCCACTGCACCTGGTGGTAAGTATTATTTCTATTTAGGATTAAAAGAAAAGCAATCTGAAATGTACAGAAGACACCAGGCTTAATAGCTGTTTTGTTTTAAACCCAGTACATTTATTTGCCCACATGTTTGGTCTAGTGTTGAAGCTAACACTTCAGATGTCACCTGTTAGGCTGTGTTAATGGACACACAGAGCCAGAGGAGGGCAGGGGATGGTCCTACTGTCCTTCCTCTTGCTCGAAACACACCAGGGCCACATGTCCAGCTCTGTACCAGGGGAGAGGCTGCTTATGTTCAGCTTCTCCATATCTGGCTATTCCAGGACACAGCAACCCACAGAGCGCCTTGTCCTCCCTCTCTCCAACTGGGGAGTGTCCCTGCAGTGTCGTCTCTCTTTACAGAAGAGATGTCATGAGCTGCTTTCCTTTTCCCACCTCATCTAACTTCTCTGGTGCAGACAAACAGTTCAGGACCTGGGGATTCAGGTGAGACACAGATTAATCGCTCATAACTGACACTTTCTTCTGAGAAGAAAGCATTCACATTCAAGGGCTTGAGCAGCTGTGAGCCCCACAGTAGCTGAGATGCCACAGGGCATCAAGTACAGGCACCTGGAGCCTGGGAACCAGAGCTGCATCCTCTGGGTTGGATGATTTCTGCCTTTCCCCAGGGGCTCATAGCTTCCAATCATTCTGTAACTGAGGAGTCTGGTGGAAATGGGGGTAGCAAAGAGATCAGAGCAGGCAAGTGTTCCTCCAGGGCTGGGAACACTCCCTCTTCCTACCTTCCAACTGCAGGCGCATGTGCATGTCTTTTGAGCCTGAGGGATCTAAAGCCTTGGGACCTCTGTATCTGCAGGTACTCCTGTTTTGATAGCTCAGTAAGTTCTGGGGTGGCAGTGGAGGTGGTGACAGGGTGTTACAGGGCTCCACAGGCTCTGACAGGGGTCAGGAGCTTATTTAAGGGAACACCTTGATTCTCCATGTCTCAGGCAGCACTGTGGATCTTCTGGGAGGAAAGAAGAGGTGTTTCTTTCTTTTTTGTTTATGGAGACAGAGTTTTGCTCGTCTCCCAGGCTGGAGTGCAATGGTGCGATCTCAGCTCACTGCAACCTCCGCCTCCTGGGTTCAAGCAATTCTCCTGCCTCAGCCTCCCAAGTAGCTGGGATTACAGGTACCCATCACAATGCCCAGCTAATTTTTGTGTTTTTTGTAGAGAGGGGGTTTCACTGTGTTGCCCAGGATGAACTTGACCTTCTGACCTCAGGTTATTCGCCCGCCTCAGCCTCCCAAAGTGCTGGGATTATAGGCGTGAGCCCCTGCGCCTGGCCTGAGGAGTTGATTTCTGACTCCAGTTTTCCATGATCAGCACAGGCTCTGTCCCACCTCCTCCCTACAGAGCTTCTGGATCCTGAGAATGGAGAATAGGCTAAACTGCACAGGCCAGCTCCAGTCCGTTGGAAGGGCTGCCTAGAACATGGCTGTGATGATCCCAAAACTCATCAGAAGAGAACCGTGTGGGGTGCTAGGAATGTCTGCCAGGGTGCCGCAGGGAAAGGAAAGGGGAACGTGTGTAGATGTAGAAAGCATCTCTGCCTTCTCCTCCCCTAAATAATGTAGAACGTGCCCATGTAAAAAAGCAGTCATGAAAGTAGCAGCTGACCTCAGGGCAGTGTGTCATTGAAATGGGGGCTGAGTAACCTGTCAGAAGAGTGGGGAGGGGGGACCATCTTCCAGCCCCTTCCCAATTCTCTTTTGGAGCCATAGGCCACAACACTGTCTATTAAAAAGCCGAGGCCTGGAGCAGAAGGAGTGAAAAATCCCAGCCACAGCAAGCCTGCGCCCAATGGTTCTCAAAGTGTTGTCCCCAGTCTAGCAGCATCAGTGTCACCTGAAAACTTGTTAGACATCCAGGTTCTCAGTCACCACCCAGCTCTACTAGATGGGAAACTCTGGGGGCGGGACCAGCCATCTGTGTTTAGCAAGCCCCACAGGTGACTCTGATGTAGCCTTGAGTGAGGACCTGGGCCAAAAGAAGAAGTCTCCTACCGTGGCTATTTGCTGATGGTCTTCGCAGAGCCTGCTGTCTTTGAGCTTCCTGAGGGAGGGACACTACCCTCTGGTTTAGGTGAGTGCTTCAGGTCCATGGGGCCTGGTGCTCTGTCACTGGTCTGGCTTCCGCCCATGTATGCACCTGCAGTCTTGATGGCGGCTCAGGATCTGCTTCCACCAAGTCTGCCAAATGTGCTGTGTAACACAGGGGGACCCTCGGGGCTTGTGCATTGCTGTCAGTCTCAGGAAACCCATTCCTTTCCCAGCGTAGCTCAGAAATGGAGAGCAGTGGCCCAGTGGCAACGGGCTCTGGCACGGCCCCTTGATGGGCCCACAGTGCCCCTCTGCCCTTGGCTCTAATGGCTTCCCAACAGATGTTCCTCTTCACATGGAGTCCTAAGAACTCAATCAGTTTCAAAAGAAAAAAAAAAAAAAACTACAAAAGCAAACCATGCTCATTGCAAATTATACCGAAATGGAACAGAAAGATAAAATGCAGTCACCTCCTTATCCCATAGCCCTCACCTCCCTAAATCCTCTATCACCCCACGTCCCGCTCCTGCCCCAGTGAGCCAGTTCTTGCTGTCTTGATGATTTGCAGTTCTCTGCATGACTCTGCCTCTTGGGTTTGTTTAATTAGAAATAGGCTGGGAAGTGCTTCCTATGCTCTGGCATGGTAATTGCTTATCAGAGAAGGAGAAGGGGTGACAGCATTTGGTGATGGAAATTTCCGCTCTCTCCATCTTGGGGTATGTCTTGATGGTTCTCTCCCACCCATCTCCTTGCCTCCTGCACTCTGCCTCCTTCCCTTCCTCGCTCTGGTCATTGTCATAGCCACAGAGACTCTTGGGGGCCAGGAGCAGGCCCCGGAGCCAGAATTCAAACTGAAAAGGAAAAACTGTCCTCTCTTTCACCCTGTCCCTTTTCTTGTCCCTGTTCTCATATCCCAGGCGGCCCCCCACGCCCATCACCCTCCAGGCTCCGAGGAGAGTCCAGAGCAGAGCTCCTTAACTACACTCAATCCTCAGAGGATGATTTTCCTCTCATTCCTTTCCCCCGTATGATTGTTATTATTTATTTTTATTTTTTACAAAACAGGAGAAAAGAGTGAATCGGGTTGGGGGAGGTGACACATTTCTCCACAAAGGTACAAAATTGCCTATAGAAAGTCAGCTGCGAATGCCAAGCCCGGGCTGCTGAGATGAGGCGTTCCTGGGCGTCCCTCTCCCAAATGTCCTTCGGATCTGGCTGGGGTCACTCCCATGTTGAGGGCTGCCCTCCGAGGTGAGATGGAGAGGCCTCCTTTAGCCCTTGCCCAGGAAGCACAAGAGCAAGCGACTGAGACTGTACAGAGAAAGAGAAGAGGAAGGGGTGCAGCCTGGGGACACAGGCAGGGGACAGCCAAGCCAGGCCCAGGAGCCTCTGGGCAGGGAGAAAATGGGGAGGCGGGAGGCTCTAGCCAGAGTCCCTCCTGTTCCTTGGAGATGTTCCTCAGAATGGCAGCAGAGGTGGCCCTGGAAGGTAAGGGCAACTTTTTGGAGGCCACAGAAGCACCCCCAGGGCCACAAAGCCCCATCTGTCTTGGCCCAGCTGCCAGGCCTCAAGCACGTGGGTCCATGTCCCCTTCCTGGGCAGGGCATCTGGCCCAGCCTGCTTCCCTTTTGGTAAAAAGTAGTCCTAGTGATTTCCTTACTGCTGAGAACAGGTCGAGCTTCAAGAATTTTGAGACAATGGTGGCGACAGTGTCTCCCCTACTGAGGATCTGGACAGCTTCCTCCCTGGATTCCAGGGCAGGACGAGGGGAGCAGACACAACCCGGACAGAAGGGGCACTCCAGCCCCAGAAAGCCCAGGCTAGAGGGAGAGGCCGCCGCCCACCCACCCCCTGCCTGGGTTGGCCGGTGCCAAGGTGGGCCGCTAGCCCAGCTGCCAGGAGGAGGACAGCGAGAGCCAGGATGGCGATGAGCCCAGGTCGGTCCCCTAAGGCTCTGTGGCAAGAAGTGGCCTCTTTGGTCCTGGCCCATACACAAGCCAACTGGGTGTGGGCATCAGCAAAGGCCACTTGCAGGCAGGCCCAGTACTCCGTGGCCTGAAGGAGGCGGGTAATGTTGTAGCTGTGGGTGCCCCGAGGCAGGCGGGCCAGAGCCGTGGCCCCCTGACCCCGGAGAGAGGAGGCACTAGACCAGGTGAGGTTGGTGGACACTGTGTTGGGTGGGGGGACCCAAGATAGCAGGATATGATAGGGGTGGGTCTCCAGCACCTGGAGCTCCAGCCCCCGTCCTTCGTCCCTGCCTGGCTGGAGGAGAGCACGGCCCACAACCACACTAACTGTCTTAGTGTCAGCCCCCACCAGGTTCTGGGCCACACAGGTGTACAGCCCTGCCTCTTCCGCCGTCACCCTCCGCAGCTCCAAGGTCCCCTCGGGGTACACCCGGTACCTCCTGCCTGCATGAGCAGGTGTCAGTCGAAGCCCCGCTGGAGTGACCCAGTAGATCTCGGGTTCGGGTTCGGCCAGTGCCCGGCAATGCAGCACCATGCTCTCCCCACTGGCCACCTGGAGGCTGGGGGGGAAGCTGCGGGGGGAGATGAGGGGCAAACAGTGGTCCGTCATCTCCCGGAAGGGCACCTCGCGAACTGGGAGGCGCTGGAGGTCCGGAGGCTCTGCGCACAGGGTGGACTGCGGCTCGATGAAGCGGACACGGGTGCCCGTGGCATTGGCCCAGCGGATGACACAGTCACAGCGGATGGGGTTGCCGTGGAGACCTACCTCCTGCAGGTTGGGCAGGGACTCCACCGTCTGCTGGTGCAAGGCACTAAGAGCGTTGTTGTTGAGCATGAGGGTCTCCATCTGGGGCAGGTGGTGGAAGGCGCGGGGGTGGATGAAAGACAGCCGTGGGTTGTTGGTGATGTCCAGCTTGGTCAGCTCGGGGAGGTTTACCAGGGCGAACTTGTCGATGGAGACCAGCTCCTCCATGTTGTTCAGCCCCAGCTCCTTGAGGTGCAGCATGTTGGCAAAGTCCCCCGGCCCAACCCGCTGGAGCGGGTTCTTGTTCAGGTCTAGGAACTTGAGCCCGGGCACCTGTTCCAGTGCCCGCCTGGGCACTCGAGCCAGCTGGTTGTCATAGAAGGAGAGGCTCTCCAGGCTCTGCAGCCCCTCCAGGGCATAGTCAGAGATCTCCCGCAGGTTCATGCCTGCTAGCACCAGGCTGCGCAGGTTGGCCAAGGGCCGGAAGTTCATATCCAGGATGGCATCTACCTTGTTGCCGCCAATCATGAGTATCTCCAAGTTGGGCAGCATTTCGAACCAGCGGCTGTCAATGGCCCTCAGCAGGTTGGAATTGAGGTGCAGCCGTAGCAAGTTGCTGAGGCCCGCAAAGGCCCTGGGGGCGATGCGGTAGAGCTGGTTGTGGTTGAGATACAGTTCCTGTAGGCTGGCCAGCCCTGCAAAGCTGTGGTCCTCCAGCCGGGTCAGCTGGTTCTCCTCCAGGTGCAGGCTTAGCAGCTGGGGCAGGGCGTGGAAATCACAGTCTCGGGCATCTGAAAAGCTGTTCTGGGACAGGTCCAGCTCTGTGAGGTTGGCCAGGTAGCCCAGCTCACTCTGGTCCACACGGGCAATGCTGTTGCTCTGCAGAAGCAGGGTCTGCGTGCCCACGGGGAGCACAGGGGGCACTGCCGTCAGGAATAGGTCATTGCAGTCCACAGTGGTGGCCTCGCGGTAGGATGAGCGGGGCGTATACCAGGGCCGGATCTGGCAGGCACACTGAGGCGGGCAGGGCACACGCCAGGGTACCACGGGCACAGCAGCAGTGGCACCAGCCACCCAAGCTAGCAAGAGGGGGGCCACGAGGAGCCTCATGGTGGAGCTGCAGGGCAGGGGACCATTCACAAGAACAGTCTGGAGTCCTGCTCTTCGTGTTTTGCAGGGTGAGGGTCAGCAACCCTGCCAGGGTCCGAGGAACCACCCTGCCAGGGCAGTCATTCGACACCGGGCTTCACTTCTCGCCCTCCTGGATACAGCTCCTCCTCCTTGTCCACTGGGGCGGGGCCTGCTCACTCATTGCCCGGCCCCATCAGGGGCAGCCCTGGAAGAAGAGGATGCAGAGTTAAGGAGGTTGCAGAGAAACAGTATCTACCCCCACTCCTGTGTTTGTTTGCTTGTTTGTTTGTTCGAGACAGTCTCACTCTGTTGCCCAGGCTGGAATACAATGATGCGATCTCAGCTCACTGCATCCTCCGCATCCCAGGTTCAAGCAATTTTCCTGCTTCAGCCTCCTGAGTAGCTGTGATTACAGGTATGTGCCACCATCCCCAGCTAATTTTTGTATTTTTAGTAGAGATGGGATTTCTCCATGTTGGCCAGGCTGGTCTTGAAGTCCTGACCTCAAGGGATCTGCCCACCTTGGTCTCCCAAAGTGCTGGGATTACAGGCGTGAGCCACCGTGCCCAGCCCCTCCCATGTTTTTGACTCAACAAGCCAAAGAAGCTGCACAGGTCATGGCCCGGCCTGTCCTTAAGGCTTTAGTGTTGGTTTCTAAGATCTGCTCACAGAGTGAGTGTCTGTGAGTCTTCAGTGAAAGAGAGGAAGGTGTAGGGGTGTGTGTGTGTGTGTGTGTGTGTGTGTGTGTGTGTTTTGGGAGGGAAGGAGAGTGGATGGGCTGAAATTATTGTCATCTTCAGAGTCCTTCAGAGCCTAGAGAGATGTGAGGTAGGTTCTCTAACTTTTCTTACCTCTTTCCTCCCTACCTGCTTGGCTCACTGGGTAAATGAAAGATAAAATGAGTTTCCAGAACTTCCTCTGGCAGTGTATGTGGGAGGTGGGTGAGGGTTGGTGGAATAAGTACAGCTTCTAAAATCTGGGATGGACTCCCCAGGACTCTAGAGGTGAAAGGCAGCAGGTCTGGTCCATATACAGGCGGGCTGGGGAAGCGGGTGTTCTGCTGCCTTGGCGTTTCTGGGTGGGGGTATTGCTTTGGTGTTTGCCAGCTTCCCCATCATGGAGGCAGGAGTTCTTCCCCTTTCCCAACAGCCTGGCAGAGTTGCCCAGGACAAGGTAGTGGAGTTAAGAAGCCTGGGTCTGAGCTCCTTAGCTGTGCAGGTAAGACCTTCTATGACCTGGCTTGGCCCCTTCACCTGGCTTCTCTTGTCACCACCCCACTTACCCATTCCACACAAACCTTTTGGGTTGAAGTTACTGTGACATGCCACCCATTCTAATATCTCCTTCTCATTGTCTTCCAGAAAACTCCTACTTGTTCTTCAATGCTCAGCTTTAAGTTCAGTCATCTCCTGCAGAAGAAAGCTTCTCTAAAACCTCCCTGCCTGGCTAAGGGGCTGGCCTTATGCTCTTACAGTACTCACACTTCCTACTGTCACAGTTCTGACCACACTGTGGGAAAAAGTCTCCAACTAGAGACCTGTCTTGCCTCATGCCTGTAGTACAGGATGGGTGCCCAGTGAGTGTTGATTGTATGACTCAGTCTCTTTGACTCCAGAGCCCTTTTCCCCAGGAGCCTGGACATCACCCCTACAATTGAGAATCCAAGCCACAGCTGTTTCCTCTATCCGGCGTGAGGAACCTACCCAGTTTCTCTTTCAGATCCCAGGGCCGTGGGGGCAAGTCCAGTCTTGGCCAAGAACCAAAGATGGAAATGAAAAGGGGCCAGACCGTGTCCCCTTCTTGAGCCTGGTCTGACTCCTGAGTGGAAGTCTGATTCCAGGTAGGTTTTTAGCTACAAGTGTCAAAGAAATGCACAAACACTGAGCACCTACAATTGCTCAGGACTCTTCAAAGATTCTGAAGTCTTATTTCACATCACCCTCATAACAGGTATGTGAGATAAGCATTAGTACCACCAGTTTGCAGATGAAGAGACTGAGATCCTGAAGAGGTTAAAGAACTGGGCTCAAGTCACATAGCTGGTGAGCAGCAAGATACAGGAATGAACCCAAGTCCAGGGGCTGTGTGCCGTCCACACTTCCCATCTCTGCTCCCAGGTCTGTCTGGCCCAAGCCTACCCTGGGCCCCTGGAGGGTCTGAGATATACTGACTGCCACAGCAGCAGGCTGCATGCCCGTTCTTGTCCCCTGGGGTGATGACTCCTTACCAGGCAGCCACAGAAAGCTTGGAGCCATGTCTCCTGCAGCCATCCTGGCAGCTGTCTCTGAGTGGGCCAGAGGGGCGCTTCGCCTACCTCATCCTGCTTCCAGGATGCTAGGGCTTGGGAGGGGAGCAGTTGGAGGCAGGGTACCCTTCCCTGAGCAGGAACACAGCAAGCCTATTTACATTTGACTACTTCCCACTTTTCTCTGCAGCTATTTCTGAAGGTGGGAAAAACAACCGTGACTTAAAAGACACAGAGGTTTTGTGTCGGGGCGTGTGTGCACTGACACGTAAAACTCAGGGTAAACAAACACACGTGCACACATACATGCACGCCTGCATACATGTGCAAGGGGAACTCAGCCATCCAAGCCAGTGTTTGGGGATCAGAAAGCAGGGAGGGAATTTTGTGGTGTTCTATGTGGGTGGAAAGGAAGTAGGGAACAAGCTGAGTCTCCGAGAGGTCCCTGTGGAACTGGATCTCTGGCCAGTAGTCCCGCCACACTTGCAGACCAGAGACCCCTGACTCCCACCTAGACCTGCTGTGAGAGAGCAGACCCACCAGCAAATAGATCAGGACCCAAATCTCGGCCCTACCACTCACTACCCGGGCATCCTAGGCAAAGCTGCTTGACTTCTCTGAGCAGCCATTTCCTTCTGTGTTACATGATATTGTCATTAGAATTAAACAAGTGTGTTGCACGCAGAAAGAATGGGATGTTAACTCCCTTCCAGCTCGAGTCATCTCTCAGGGCTAGGAGGCGCTCCAGCTCTAGGACTTCCTCGGAGACAGCAGAAGTTGGTTCCTAGGACTCGAGAAGTTAGCAAGTGCCATGCTAGCTGGGGAGGCAGTTTCAAAAACAAAAAACTACTAGGAGAGCCCAAGACATTTCACAAGTGGAGAGAAGGTGAGGGCTGGGGGAGGTGGAGAGGGGTCTTCAGCTGGGCCCCAGCATCTCCCTGACCTTCAGATCCTGTCTGAGTCCAGGTTCCCTTCTCCATCAACACCTAAGCGCTGTGTCAGTGCTCAACTGCTTAAAGAACCATTTAGAACTTAATGGAAACCCTCCAGGCACTTACCTTTCCCCTCCACCCCAGCCTGCTGCCCCCTCCTGCCCTCCCCTGATTGGGCTGGGTGGATGAGGCAGAGCTTGTGGCTTCTGGGCCAAGAGCCCGGGTCTGGGTCTTAGGATCCAGAGAGGCAGTGACTTGATGACTCATGTTCACACTGTACCTCTGACCCCAAGGCTTGGCAAAGGCCCAGACAAGTCCACCCCCTCACTGCTGAGCACGCAGCCCTTTCCAGGACGGAGCTCAGAGCTGCCCACTCACCTGCCATCACCATCTAAGGCTGCCTTGCACATGGCCTGCTCATGCAGGCTGATTAGCAGTTTCTACTGGGGAGCTGCAGAGAAAGCTAATTGTCTTTCATTCGTAATCTCCAGAGGTGATCAGGAGTTCAGACTGTCAGTGTATACTTTCCCCAACTGGATTTCAAGCTGCTTGAGGCAGGGGCCATGTCTTACATGCCTTTTGTGTTCCCAGAGCACCAAGTTTAGGACTGAACCTGTAGCGGGTGCTTGTGAGTGGCTATAGTGAAATGTGTAGAGAACATGCGTTGCATTTGATCCCCCCAACAACCCTGTGTGTCGGCCAAGAAGGGATTATTTAGCCCCATTTTGCCAGGGAGGCAGCTGAGAGTCAGAAACGTTAAGTGATTCATCAGAGGTTGCACAGCTTCTATGGAGTGGGGTCAGGATTCAAACCCAGGGTCTTTGAAGAGTCACCAGCCCAGCCAACGTGGATCAGCGCCTGTTGTAAAGGAGCAGAGGTCAAGGCTGCCTCAGGTACAAATCCCTTCAGAGACAGCCCGGGTCCTCAGCGCCTCTGCCCCACCTGCCGCCTGCTGGGCCCCTCAGCTCCAGTTCCTTGACTCCTGCCTAGAACTACCCCCTTGGGGGACAGTGTGGGGAAGGACACTGTTTCTGTGTGAGTGTGGCTGGGCCTGGAACCACAGGGACAAACAGAGCCAGCCGCTGCACACAGACCTCAGCCTGCCCTCTGAAGGGGGGCTGGGGGCTCCTTTTTGTGCAGTGACTGCTGGCCAGCGGTGGGGTTCAGGGACGGGAGACAAAACGCCCCAGAGCGATATTCCAAGAAGCTGGGTTGGTTGCCCATTCCAAGGGCAAGTTTTCCTCTTGGAAGGGCTGGTGCTGCAAACGCCGTCAGGCCTATGTCCTCCAGCCTGTTTCTCTGGATTTAGCAGAAACTGGAATTAATCCGCTACACCCCTCATCGAACTAAGACCTTTGGCAAAGCTCTGAAGGAAGAGTTTGGAGATGCTGTCGCTGCTTTCTCCCTTCCCTCCTTCTCGGGCCCCGGCCCCAGCACAGCCCCAGTGCTCCTGCCTGGTATTGGTGGACACAGAGTCTCTCTCTCTGTCTTCTCCTCTCCTCCTCCCGCCTCTCCCTGGCGGTTCCCTGCTCCACCCCGGGAGCCGAGGGCCTGGAGGGAGGGTGGCAGGTGGTGATCGATTGCCTGGCCTTGGCTGCTTCAGTGCCAGGACCCCCCTCTCCCCACAAAGCTGCGGAGACAGATGCGCGGCGTAATTGAGTGTAGCATTGATAAACTCCAGCCTCCTCACCAGCAGATAAGCGCTGGGTGGGAGGGATGCTGAGGGCAAGGAAGGCCAGTCCTCCATCTGCATACCTGGCCTCCAGTTCCTCCTGGGAGGTGAGCCCGGCCCCTCACTCCCACCTCCCATTTAATCACACACAACCAGAACCTCAGAGCTGAAGGGGACCTCAGCCTTAGCCTTTATCTGCTCTTCCAGAGTCTGAATTCCATGAATAACTTATGTGAAGGAGGAGTGGTGGAGCGTGAGCCTGGCTCTGCTGCTCACTGTGTGACCTCGGGCAAAGTACTTAACCTTTCGAGCCTCAAATGCCTGAGCTGGGAAATGGGGATAATGCCTGCACTCCTGGAATGGCAGTGAGGAGGGCGGGACGGAAGGCGCAGGAAGTGCCTGCTACTTCCCTCCACTCCTCCCGGCACTGTGGCCTCTCCTTCCATCTTATAATATATTGGGGTGGTGCAAGAGTGATTGTGGTTTTGACCATTAAAAGTGTGGCCAAAACCTCAATTACTTTGGTGCCAACCTAATACTTCTCATCTCTCAACTTTTGTAATAAACTTTAAAAAAACTGTTGAGGTATATTGTATGTACAGGAGAGTACATGAAGGTCCCTGATCCCAACATGCGTAGATACAAGTACAACCACCACCCAGATCAATACATACACATTCCCAGCACTCCAGAAGGTTCCTGTGTGCCCCCTCCCACTCAATATCCAGCCCCCACCTGGAGCTGGCCACTGTCCAGACTCCTATTGCCTCCAAGCAGTTTCCTTTTGAAAACCCAGAATTCCCCTTCCTTTTCCATGACAAGTTGAGACCCGGGTCTTTGGAATTAGGTTACTCTGGTGTGAGGGAACTTTAAATCCACTTCATTCCTCCTCCTACTTCAAAGGGGGCTATAGCTTCTCAGAGTCTCATGTTTAACCAGTGATCTCCAGGAAGAAAGACTGATTCTTCTCTCTCGTTTCAGAGTTCCCATATCTAAAAATGGTTCTAAGCCTTGGGGCCCAGCTCTGGCCAGCACCCTTGTGGCCGGGGCCTGGGAGTGCCATGCTGCCTCAAGGGAGGATGATGCGGGTGACCTCCTGGCCCCCCTGCCCCCTAGGCCTTCTCATCACAGAGTTCTGGGGCATAGGCAAGAGGATGGATTGGGGGTGGCCAGGGAGCAGCCCGACCTGCACTCCTAACCGTCCAGCCCCTGGGCCATTGTACTGGGCAGTCTCAGAGGCTCCTGCCATTCTGCTTGTCCTGCCCGGCACGTCTCCTCCCACCCCCTGGCCGTGCTGCGCTGGTCCTACTGCTGTCAGCATCACGGTCCACCAAAGGCTGGGAATGCCCGCCCTCTTCATCTGCCCTCTCCCACCTCACACCCCCGAAAAACGCTCACACCGCTTTCACTTCTCCTTTCACTTCTGGCCTTGTCGTGTACAATGGCCTCTTTTGGGCTCTCCTGCTCACCTGAGAGAGCCTCACTTCCCCTCACTGCCTCTCATTCCCAGACACGCCGTTTTCCTTCCACACCTTGGGCCTCTCACTCTGCCTGCCATGCCCTTCCCCAAATTCAACCATGCAACTCCTCTTCAGCAGTGAAAACCCATCCCAGATGCCCTCTCATCTGTGACGCTTTCCCTTAGAGAAGGATGGTTCCTCCCACAGCTGCCCCGGAGACTCTGAACAAACCACAGTGGCAGCTTCCTCACTGTTAGGCCGTGAGTCTGTCTTCCCAACCAGGCAGAAAGCTCCTTAAGGAAAGGATGGTTATGGAGTTTTGTGTCCCTACAGCCTAGTACTGTGCACTTTCCCTTGCAGGCCTGAGGGGTGCTCTGCTGTGAACTATCAATCACAACCCATTAGTAGGTCATGAAAACTAATGTGGGCCATGATCTACATTAAAAAAATGAATAGAGGCCAGCACGGTGGCTCACGCCTGTAATCCCAGCACTCTGGGAGGCCGAGGTGGGTGAATCACAAGGTCAGGAGATCAAGACCATCCTGGCCAACATGGTGAAACCCTGTATCTACAAAACAAAAAACACAAAATTTAGCTGGGCGTGGTGGTGTGTGTCTGTAGTCCCAGCTACTTGGGAGGCTGAGGCAAGAGAATCGCTTGAACTCTGGAGGCAGAGGTTGCAGTGAGCTGAGATCGCACCATTGCACTCCAGCCTGGCGACAGAGCGAGACTCCGTCTCCAAAAAAAAAAAAAAAAAAAAAGGATAGAGGCAAGGCGCAGTGGCTCACATCTGTAATCCCAGCACTTTGGGAGGCTGAGGCAGGTAGGTCACCTGAGGTCGGGAGTTCTAGACCAACCAGACCAACATGGAAAAACCCTGTCTCTACTAAAAATACAAAATTAGCCTGGCGTGGTGGTACATGCCTCAGGAAGCTGAGGCAAGATAATTGCTTGAACCTGGGAGGCAGAGGTTGTGGTGAGCCGAGATCACGCCATTGCACTTCAGCCTGGGCAACAAGAGCAAGACTCAGTCTCAAAAAAAAGAAAAAAAAATACAAAATCAAAAATATCAGACTGCATTGTGTGCAGCCAGACTAAGCATTGTTTTGAGATGGTTTCACCCCCTACCCATTTTATATATACCCATTTGGGCACTGGGATGTGATACAAGGCTTTTTTTTTTTTTTTTTTTTGGCCTTTGGCTATAGCTATAAAAGCTTGAAAACCATTACTCTGAGAATCTCTCTTTTGGGAAAATGAGTCCCTTCAACTCTGGTTGATGCCACTGGGATGATAACAGAAAGCAAAGTCTCAGAGGAAAGATGTGGCGTTCCTGAGTGTCTTCCACGTGCCAGCACTTCTATTTGCTAGCCACGTGGCATTCCTCCTCCCAGCCTTCTGTGAGGGAGGCACTTTTCAGATGAGAAGCCTAAGCTTCGTGAAGCTGAGAGTCGGGACTGAAGTCCCACAGTGAGCGTGTGGAGGAGCCAGGATCTGAACCCCATCGCCAGCCCTTGCCAGTTCCATGATTCTGGTGCCAGCACTCACCTGACCTCCAGGGCTGTCATGGCATGAAGAGACTGGAGGGCATCTGCTGGGCAAAGGTGAGGCTTCTTTGTTCACACTCACCCTCCCCTCCTCTCTGGAATGAGAGGGGTCAGGGTTCCAGGAAACCCCGCTTGCTGGGCCTGGGAGGAGAGGCCACGACAAGGGGACTGTCCCCAGGCAGGAATCTCTGTCTTCCCAGGTCTCCTGGCTGGCCCAGGCAGAGAGTGTTAGAGCTCTGCTGCCTGGAAGGGAGCCTGCCTCATTATTTCTTAATTAGGAGTAGAGGGTACCAGTAGGTAGCGCACAGAGTCCTTGCTGTCTGCTTGCACTGCACCAAAAGGCTGCAGGGGAGAGAGCCAGCCGGCCGGGGGCAAGGAGGCAGCTCCAGGCTGCGCCTCATGCCGCTCGCTGCCAGGCTTCTGCTGATCCCCTGCACCCATTTCCTGGGCTCCCATGG